GAGAAGGGCTCGCGGGAGAACCTCCGCTGCAGATTTCGTGAATGGGTACTGCCAAAGACGCTGGTGCTGTCGGGATTATTAGCACCAGTGGGCAAAGAAAGATCGCCGGTGGTGCGCCGGTCTCGGTCGAAGTTGTCGTGGAAGCGCTCTATGACGCGATACAGCTCTCCGGAAGGGCTGACCTCGGCTGCCGGGCGGTCATCGAGGATCGAGCGGACAAGGTCGTCGGCGAATTGCCTCGGTCGTTGGGAGTGATTCCCAGACTGATCGCGGCGGTTAGACGGAAGGTCTGACATTGGGAGGGCACGAGGGGAGTATGGTTGGATGTGAGATTGAGACCCGGGTGCAGAGGTGCGAATACAGGTAGGGGGGACATCAGGTTTGCGCCTGGAAAGTAGGGAGAAGCATGAAGCCTGCTAACCATCAAGGGACACCAAGAAGGCGGAGGCCGCGCAAGATAAAGAGCGAGCTTGTGACTGGCAGGCTCGCTCGGGAAGCCGATAATGCTCCGGCCTGCAGGACGATGCGACAAAGCAAGTTTGCGTTTTGCTGCTGGTCGGCCTGAGCGACCTCGTTGTAGGTCGTGGGGTCGAAGCGCAATTGGGGTGGCTCGTGGTCAAAGAGCGACAAGGCAGGTGCCGGGCAGGGCAGGGCTGGATGGGTGCGTGAGTGCGTGAGTGTGTGCAGCCCTGGCCTCGCTGCCAGGTTGGGGAGTCGTCTCGTTTGCGCAGCGAGACGCTCGCAAGGCGCAACAAACGGGCGCCCCTTGTAGACGGGCAGGTGGCGGCGGCAGCGACCGAGGCAGGCAAGCTGACGGCCAGGCAGGTGCTCGAAGGGGGTTGATTCGAGACCCGAATCAAGCCCTAAATTTCCTGGCCTTTGCGTGCGGGGCAGCGTCGACAATCGGTCGGCGGTTGAAGCGTTCGGTATTCGCAGGTTGGTGTTGGGTGTGGGCGGGCTGGCGAGAGTTGGAGAGGTGGGAGCAGCAGAGAGCGGAGCGTGATCAGGGAGGGGATTGAATGGCTGAACGATGGATAATGAAGGGTGGATGGCCTGAATTGGCAACAACAAGACGGGGTGCGAAACGTTCCTCGCGCGCTAAAGGCTTGTCTGTCCACTGCGTGTGCGCAAACACAGCGGGGTCTGTTAGCGAGGGAGCTGTTGACCCGACGGAAGGAGCGCCCGGTTTACAGTTCTCGCCTCGCCCATCTTGTATAAAGCCTAGCTACACTACAAACGGACATACATTACACATGTGTTTTCTTGGAGCCTCCTCTCGCGCTACCTTGGCACCTTGAGTAGTAGGTACTCGACGGCTTGGAGGATCACAAGCACTGGTGGTCCGTTGGTCGAGACCATCTCTGCCAGCTGAGTCGGCCCAGTGGAGCTCGCCTCGGCTGTATGTAGCACTTTAACGCGCAGAGGTTGCACTACTAGTCCTGGGAGTGTGCGCATGTCCGTGTCATCAACGAGCACTTGCGCCCATCGGGCAGGTTGATGAATAATAAATGGCTAGAAGACATGGAGGTATTGCTGTTACACGAACCTACCTGCCCTTGCACAGCCCAATGGATCGTCCCGTCCGGGTCTATGCTCTGGCGTCCATGCTCTGGCCAGGCAAACCAACGAGCATGGCAAACAGCGTCATCAGCGAGCCACCACCAACGCCCTCGTGCCTCAACCAGGTAGATCGTTTGTAGTAGTGGTGGTCTTTCCGAGACCTGACGTGCCGACGCATTGATTGATCGTCTTGTTCCCAAACAACCGGGTTTGTTTATTTACCATTTCAGTCCATCATTCGGTGGCTGTTACAATCCTCCTTGAACGGAAATTCCGCCCAGCACACTCCAGCAGGCACCCCCAGCTAGGACCCATCAAAAACCAGTCGCACTGCAGGCACGTCACTGCGCTCAGCTGCTTGCCTGGCCACCCATCGCCAGACCGATACCATTGATATCGCGTGACTTGCCGACCTACCCGCCTGTCTCGGTCACCTGAGTCTCACACTATCCAGTCCACACCATACCCAGACACAACATGGCGCATCCTGCGCAGGATGCAGTTCCTCCGGCGGCGCCGGGAGGGCCCGCGCCGGTCGTGATGCCCGAGGCAAACGGCGTAGGGCTGGCGGCGCAGCAGCCGCAGAACAACGGCATCAGCGAGGACGAGATCGCGCTCTACGACCGCCAGATCAGGCTCTGGGGCATGCAGGCACAGGAGAAGATCCGGTCCGCCAACGTGCTGCTCATTACCATGAAGGCGCTGGCCAACGAGATCGCCAAGAACCTGGTGCTGGCCGGCATCAACTCCCTGACCATCCTGGACCCGGAGCCCGTCACGGCCGCCGACTTTGGCGCCCAGTTCCTGCTGGACGAGGACGAGGCTCGCGTCGGCATGAACCGCGCCGAGGCGGCCAGCGTCAACCTGCGCAAGCTCAACCCGCGTGTCAACGTCGTGGTCGACACGGACCACATCTGCTCAAAGGGTCCCAGCTTCTTCGCAGCCTTCAACGTCGTCGTCGCCACCGACCTCGGCCCCCAGAACATGGTCCTGGTCAACACGGCTACCCGCCTGAACAACAGGCCCTTCTACGCCGCCGCCACGCACGGCCTGTACGGCTACATCTTCGCCGACCTGATCGAGCACGACTTCGTCGTCGAGCGCGACGTCTCGAGGCCCACGGAGCTGGGCGCCGAGACGAGGACGCGCGCCATCGTGGGCGTGACGGTGCGCGACGACGAGGCCGGCAAGAAGGTCGAGCGTGTCACCAAGCGCGAGCTCTACTCCACCTGGACCCTGGCCGACGCCGCCACGCTGCCCGAGGCCCACCGGCGCTCGCCGCGCCGCCTGCGCGCCGTCACCCCGGCCCTCTCGTGCCTGCGCGCCCTCTTCGAGTTCGTGCAGGAGCGCGGCCGCCTGCCCGCCACGGTGCCCGCCCACGCACGCGCCGACCTCGAGCGCTTCACGCTCCTGGCCAACGACAAGCACAATCATCTCGGCCTCCCCACCGCCACCCTGCGGTCCGAGTTCCTGCGCAGCTTCCTGCAGAACCTGGGCGCCGAGATCGCCCCCGTGACCGCCATCCTGGGCGGCCAGCTGGCCCAGGACGTCATCAACGTCCTCGGCGGCACCCAGCAGCCCATCCAGAACACGGTCATCTTTGACGGCAACACCATGGAGGCCAGCATGTTCGCCCTCCACCCGGACGACGAGGTTCTAGGCAGCGCCCAGCTAGTCTCGTCGTCGGCCGCCGACGTCCAGCTCGCCGTCGCCACCGCCTCCACCGTCGTCCCCGTCCTCGGCCCGGACGGCCAGATGATGACGGATGTCATTGGCATGGCGCCCATGGGCATTCCCCCCGTCGGTATGCTGCAGCAATAGCCTTTTCTTAAAGCAACCTGCTTGACGGGTAGGGAAAGTAGAAGAGGAATCTATTACCCATACACGGCGTAGCATGGTTGGTTTCTCTGACACCATCTTTAAGCCCAAGGGGTTTGTCGACAAGGCCATCTTGCGACGTGGATGATTTGGCAGCTATTTCGTGCAATATACGCATTGGCCTGCGCTATGGCCGGCCTTGGCCTCGGGGGCTGTGCTGCGGGAGGGAAGAAAACAACAGAACATGCGTTTTTCTTCTTTCCTTTGGGCCAATCTCCGGTCGGTCTCCTCGGCAGCTGCTCGAGGCGGGAAACCGAGCACGGTGCAGAATTCGGGTGGACATGGCGAAAAAAAATACGTGCATGAAATAACCTGGAATTATTAGAGACCCATATAGCCACGAGAACGATTCGTTGCGGTCTGGAGATACCCTTTAATCTCAACATTCTAGCACGAAACACCAAGGACCTGTAACATATGGCGGCACGTCGCTGTTGAGGCGCTTGCCCCAGCACTAGGCACATTACGACGCGGTAAGGACCGATAAATCTCCGCGGCCGTGGCCGCTGAAGTAATCCCATAAGCACTTGGTACTCCTCGTATGGCAGTCGAGGTGACTGCCACCTATCCTCGATTCCACTGCTGCTGCTGCTGCTGCTGCTTTTTGTTTCTCCACGGACGACGATCATGATATCCCGCTCGGCCGGGGTCGTGTTGCTAGACGATACGGAAAGCTTCGCCGGAGGGGCTGGCGGTGGTGGCTCTAGACAGCCACGATCTTTATCCTTGTTTTTCTTATGATTTTCCGTCTTATTTTCGGTTCTGTTTTCATACCTACCTATTCCTATTCCGATCACTAGAAGTAAATGCCGTCTTTTTGTAATGGGCGTGACGGCGCAGGTCTGCTTGATAAGGAAGAGGTGGCGGCATATCCCCAGCCGGGCTTGATCGAGGCGCCACCATGGCGGCAAGAAGCTCCGAGCTTGGCCGAGCCTAAGCAGGAGTTAGGAGAAGGTATCTAGGCACGTACCTACAGGAACTTGTGACGGCGAGAGGAGAAGGTGGGAACCTGTGGTTGATCAGGGGATCGTAACATATCCCAACACTCAAACAAGACATACAATACGAGGCGCTTTTCGGGGAAAGTGCGGTCTGATGGAGATGTTGGTCGCCAAGACTGGTATTCCAGCCACACGCGACTGACACACATGTCCACTTGAATAGTATGCGTATGGGTGTGTTGCCCCCCCTGCCGGCAGGCACTTTTAATCCCCGAGGTTAGGCGAATAGCAGCACCCACTGTAGCGTGGCGAAGACCGGGACCCGTCGTGTAAGACCATAATTTGCCGGACTTGGCATCGTCAGGACGTCCGCACGCAGGTCGCCAGGACAGCGGGTGGGGGCCCTGCCCTGTCGCACAGTGGAAGCCATCGCGGCGTTTGACTCGACCGAGGGACGAAGGATAGCAGCCACGGGCACTGCTCCCGGTCTGATCTCGGCGAGACTGAGGCCGTAGGCTGACTATGCTCGTGAGGCGGGCTCAAGATATCTTGTCTCAGGTTTGCGGGTTAGTCCCCCCATCGCTTGGGCTGAGGCTTGGTCTCGAGCTCTCCCCAGGATGGAGCTAGGACCAAACCTTGAAGACCAGCTCTCGCGATATGCACTAGTAAAAAGGTGTGTTGGTCTCGTCCGTCCGCTCGGGTCCGGCGGGATCGGGATCCGTGACGGCTCATAGCTCAGGAAATCGGCGGTAGGATCAGACGTGGGTTTAGGAATAACTAGGTAGCTTAGTAGGCCTCTTTCCCATCCTCTACAGCGCGCGGGCTTTTGCCCCCCCTGGGCTAGTCTTGGCTAGGCTCTTTTTCTTTTAGTTGCCAAAGACACCAACACTGGATTCCGAGACGGGCGTTTGTCATTTGCTGCTTCTGCGCGTGCGGCGCTAGGAGTGAGCGGAAGCGAGGCACAAAAGCGGAGGCGGTCATCTGCGAGTAGCTGTGAGCTGCACACACTTAATGTGCAGTTGCGGGTCAGAATCTGCGTCGCATCAGTTGACTGACGATGCACTGGTTGCGGGGCTTTGTTCCAGTCGGCCCCGAGCCTGCGGCAGGCAGGCGGGGACAAAGCAGACGCCGGATCGAGCAAAAACGGGAAACGCGGCTGATTGGATGGCAGCCCACAGGCCCACAGCCTAGCCCATCCAAGGAATGCTCAGACCAGCAAAGAAAGGCAAGAGAAAAGAAACACCAGACTGGAACATGGCTAGCTCGGCAGATGCACGCAGCACGATGCCGCACTAGGAAAATAGTAGGTTGCCAAGGCTAAAGCTTCCTCAGCACGTCGTCGCACAGCTATGACGATGCCCGAGTGTTCGGTCGCACGTCCCTTTGAGCTAACGATGGCCCCCCCTGTCCCGCCCAGCGATCAGACTTTCTCGGCTTGTCCTGGTCGAGGCGAGATTGCGTGGGAGCGGGGGACGGACGGGCCAAGCTGTTTTGTTTGTTCCCGGTATATTGCGAGGACGTGGAGAGGGGCTCGAGCCGCAAGCCTGGAATCTTTTCATATCCTCGAGGCCCTGCCGGCTGCTTCTTGTCTCGGAGTTTTCATCACCTCGCCTTTCCTTTCGATTTGATTCCGATCGTCGTGCTGCTGTATGTAAGCCTGGTGCCTGCAACCTGCACTTTTTTTCTGCACCTGCACGACGGCTGCATCGCGTCCCACCTTGGCCGCCGTATTCGGTCGTTTGAGCTTGAACAAGCATTGGTGCAGGGACCACCCTCCATGCACACTCCCGCCGTCCACCACCACCAGCCAGCAAGCACGCGGCGTTGCACAACGGCACAGTCAGTACCTGGTTCCCTGGACCTGCCGTAGCCTTGCAGCAAGGAAGAAGACCGGCTTCATCGACAACTGGCACCCGACACCATCCTTCCTTTTTCGAGGTGGCTGTCGTAGGCGCCGCGCAGGTCGCCTTTTGGAGGGATTTGAATACCGTATTTTTTGGTTCTTTTCTCCGGCTTGGCTGCACCCGTCTCTGACGCCTGACGTGCGACTGCTGCCAAATCCGTCTGGCCCTCGGCCTTCCATTGTTTGTTAGCCTGGCTGTCAATCGACGACGCAATCGAGTCGCAGCTGCAACTTTTGTTTCTTTTTCCGGTGCCGACGACCAGTCGCTGCGACTCTGCACAGTTGGAAACCCCAGTGCCACGAGAGCTCGCCGCCGAGGGTTCCCAGGGACAGCCTTGGTCCCCACCGAACCGCCCATTTCAGGCCAGCGAACCTGGGTTTGCATTGTGTCAGAAAGATTAGCTCGTCATGCTAAGCCAGATGCCGCGAGGCGTCGCCCAAGGATCGCCATGCACAACCACTCCACAACCGCCAGCAACAGCACAAACACCGTCCACGTCGCCTGCTGCTGGCCTCCATGCGTCTCCTCGTCGCCAAGTATCCCACTTTTCTCGCCCTGACCCACGCTGCTACCAGACTTTTGCCGCCAATGGCTCCCCTGCGCCTCGTGAAAGCAAAACCACGCCCGACCCCGTTGGCGATGCCGCCGCCATTGCTTTCGGCCACACCACACCGCTCGCCACAGCCGCCACCACCAACGAACCCTATCAGCCGTATCGCCGATACCCGTCCCACCACCACCAGCCCGTCCACGAGCACTCTAGCGGAGCTTGGTCCAGCAGCAACAGTGTTGATCCTCCCGCCGATGGACTGCCCCTAGCGGCCCCGGCCTTCCCCTCCCGCGGCCGCCACCAGTCGATCTCGAGTCTGCTGCCACTTGCCATCGCCAACCGAGCCAACTCTCCCGGGAGGAGGCACCGGTCCGCCCTGTCGGAAGCCGCGATGCCTCTCACGGGTGACGGCAGGTTAAGGAATGGTGGGAAGGGCGCTCTGGTTGGTTGGTTTTCATCAGCGGCGAGCGACGCAAACGTTGCCAGCGGTATTCCGACGATAGCAACCCCGAACGACGAGATGGCCACTCCATTACGTCGAACCCGATCCTCTATCTCGACCGAGAGCCAACAAGCGAGCTCGAGCTCCTCGCCTGCACCATCCCGATTCGGGTTCTTGTCGGCAATATCATCGGCTCTGAGCACACAAACTCTCACGCCGACCGGGAGCCCCAACCGCAATGCCACTGGCGATAAGGACGACGAAATATTGGCCATGGACGTCGAGGCGGCCCTATTCCCCGGCGGTCTTCCTGTGGCCGGCGAGGCCTTTTCGCCTTCGGCCTTCAAAAACCTGCAGATGAACGCAACCGCGGCCGCCCGTCGCCTGCAGGGGGCGTACCGCCAGCGGACGGTCGAGGCCCGCGACATGGCCGCTGAGATGGAGGCCCAGCGCGAAGAGCTCGAAGAGGCAACGACCCGCTCGGCGCACTTTAAAATGCAACTAGAAGATATGGCCGCAAAGGCCGACGAGCACGAGCAGGCCATGCGCAGCCTCCTCGACGAGCTCGCCGCTGAGCGCCGCAAGACGGCCAAGCTTTTGCAGGGCCAGCGCAGCGACGGCCTGCTCCAGGTACCCGCAACCTCCGAAGGCTCGATTTCCGAAGACCTGGGCGTCGACGCCGCCGAGGAGGACCAGAATCGGCGGCGGAGGATACAGAGGCAGTGGCGCGGCAGCGGCGGTACCGTCAACAGCTTCGACACGGACGACGACGAGAGTGTGGCCGAAAGCGAGAGCGTTTTCTCGTCGCGCTGCAGGAGCCCCACGTCTGCCGCCACCACCGACGGGTCGGATCCGAGCAGCATACTGTCGCCGGCATCCTTCACACAGTCCCCAACAACTGTCCTGTCCCCGCCGCCGCCGCACCACAGCAGGCGAGCCCCGCTGGGCTCGAGACCGCCACTTTCTCCATTACCGCAGCAGCAACCGCCACAACCACAAATGACAACATTCCAGCGACTCGTTAAGGGCGTGACATCTGGGCCCGCCCCTGGCCAGGCAGCCGACGGCGCTATTGTCAGTAGCTGTTCGAACTGCCAGGGCCTGGATGCCTCAGTTGCGTGGGACACGGTGAACCTGCTCAAGGACGAGAACCACGCCTTAAAGGAACGAATGAACGAGCTCGAGGACGCCGTGGAAGGGGCCCTTGACCTAGTGAACGGCATAGGGCTATGATGATGTACCATGAGGAAGGTCATGTACCGCTTCCTTGCGCATGAGCATATATACCCCAGGCTAGGGTCTCTTTGTTTTCTTCTTTGTTTTCTTCTTCTTTACTTCTTTCTAGCCGCCGAGGTTGCCCTTTCTGGGATTTTTCATGGTTTTTTTTTATAGCACCAGATTGGATCTGGGTTTGCGACTGGATGTCTTCGTTTTCGCCTACCATTTCATTCTTATGTTAGTGATATCCAGGTTAGATACGGTGGGCCGATATGGCATGGATTCCCACGAAGAGGAAACAGAAATATTCGACTGAATATGATTCCCATGTCGCATGGTAATTGTGTCGTTTGCTCGTTCGCAGTGGACGACGAAGGGAGAGACAGATGAGATGGCGTCGTACCCGCATTCTGTATCACAAGCCCCCACACCTCCATCACATCGTCGTACGAGGCCACGAGAGCACCGGCGGCCGGGGTATAGTCACGTAATGCGTACAATGCAGTAGGTGTGGTTGAGCTGCCGGGGCTAGCATAACATGGGCATGCAAACTACAATGAGGGGGGGGGGGGGGAGCAGTCTAGGTGCTTACGGAGTGGGCAGGTCGTTCACCCCCGAGAACCTGTCGTCTCCCCAAGTTATCACTGCAAACAAAGACAGCCCGTGCATAGACAAAAAAAAAGACGTTGGTCCGACCAAAAGCTCTGGATTCGTAGCTTGCCTCAACTCCGGTGGGGTTTGCACATCGAGGGGCTCGGGCGCCTCTGTCGAGGGCCCCCGAGGCTCCATCTACGTATGCACAACCGAGTCTAGACGCCGCATTTGCGGCGGATGCCAGATGCGAAAGAGAAGCGAGCCCGCTGCTCGATTGCAGTGCCGTTTCCTCTCGCGACCTTCCTGACCCCATCGGTCAGGGGGCCTTTCCCCTTTGACCCGTCCAACCCCCCTGGCTGTATCGTCCCTCTCAGACACTACCTCCTCTCCATCCCCTATTTTTTTTTCTCTTTCCTTGTCTTTCTTTTCTCAATGATGACCCTCGTCAGCGTGGTGGTGGTCGTCGGCCAGGACAAAGTGCTCGTAGGCGCAGTAGGCGGCAAAGGCGACGGTGGCGATGCCGAGGCCCGGGAAGGACCCGCGGAAGCGGTTCCAGCGGCTGAACTGGCCCTTGTACCGCCAGGTCTCGGCGCGCTCCCATGGGTCGTATCTGGGCTTGCTGGCCGCCTTGATGAAGGCGTGCGTGTCGAAGCCCGTGATGTTGGGCTTGGGGCCGCTGTGGGCCGCCCTCAGTATCCTGCGCGGGTTGGTGACGGTGTCAGCTAGGGCTCGGGGAGGAGTGAGTTGAGATATTGCGAAAGGGAGCGGGACGGTGGTCTCGTGTCATCGTCATAGTCATCGTCATCGTCGTCGTCCTCATCCTCGTCGTCTTACCTGGAGGGATACATCTGGTCGGGGTTATATCGGTTCGACGGTCTGTTCGCTCGCTCGCTGCGGCTGGGCTGGGCTCAATTGGCAGCCCCGAGGGTCGAATGGGGTGCGAGACGGTCGCTAGGGCTGGTGCTTTGGCGTTTTGCTCGTTCGTCGGCGTCGTCACATCAAGCAATCCAGGGGAGCATCCGACGTTGGAGGGACAAGAGCCAACCACAGTAGAGTTCCCACCCGCCCAGACAGCCGCGGGCGCTGCGTGCACGGGCCTCTAGATAGTGACTAAGCGACAGCCGCGCGGGATCCTGGAGCCCTTGTTGTGCAACCGACACCCTCGCTGTGTGGCCATCGCCCACTTGTGCTCCGGGGCTTGCACCTTCGCAGTTCGACGTCGCCGATCGAGGCCACCCGACGGAATTGGAATCTTGAGATTGAAGCAACACAGCCCGCAGCCAGCCACCACACATCCCCCTTTACGCAGAATTCAGAGCACCCCGTCAGAGTCGAAGAGTGCTTGGGACGGTTAATTCCCCTCGCCTTTGCCATCCCGCCGACTTTTCAATCCGTGCCCAAAGGCTCCATCCGTGCTAGGGGACCAATCCTCCACACATCAAAATCCAGAGAGGCCAAAACGGACGAATCGAAAGGACGAAACATAGTAATAATACCACACAAACTCGCCCACTCTACGGGCCGGCACAACCTAGGGCGTGCTGATCCTGCGAAGCAGGCCGCTTTGCCTCGACGCGCCCCCCGCGTAGCCTCCCTTGGCCAGATGCGCCACCTCACCGCGGCCGACCAGCGAGCGAAGACGACGGCGGCGGCGGCAACGACAACAGTCCCGATAACGACCCGGAGAGTAGCGCGGCGGCAGCGGCAGCAGCGATACTATGCCTCCGCCCCCAAATAGGTTCCCCAGCGGGCCCGCCACCATCTCGCCGTACCAGCACCAGTTCCCTCCCCAGCACGGCGGCCAGGGCCACGGCGGCGGCGGCGGCCATCCCCCGCCGCTCGGCAACCCGGCCTACATCGGCGGGCCCAACAGCCAGCTGAACCCCTTCGCCGCGAATGGCGCCCTCAGCATGGCCGCGGGGCTGAACCCCGCGGGCGCGGGCGCGTTTGGCGGCCACGGCGACTCGGGCCTGGGTAGCCACGCCGCCCGCCTCGGCTTCACCCATGGCGGCACCAGCCTCCAGCAGCAGCAACAGCAACAAGCGCAGCAGCAGCAGCAGGCCCAACAACAACAGCAGCAGCAGCAGCAACAGGCCCAGCAGCAGCAGCAGCAGCAGCAGCAGCAGCAGCAACAGCAACAACAGCAGCAGGCCCAGCAGCAGCAACAACAGCAGCAACACCACCCGCAGCAAGGGCATGGCGGCGCCGTGCTGTCGGACCACCCGACCCGCACCCAGGCTAAAGGACGGATACGGGAGGTGTGGAAACACAACCTGCACGAGGAGATGGCCATCCTTCGCGACCTGATAGAGAGGTACAACTATATTGCTATGGTAAGCCGCCGACAGCTCGAGCTTCAAAAACCCGCGGGCAACCACCGATGTAGCCGTGAACACCACTGACGCGCGCCTGCGTTGATACAACTCTTTAGGACACAGAGTTTCCGGGGCTCGTTTGTAGGCCTATGGGGACCTTCCGCGGGAAGAGCGACTACCACTATCAATGCCTCCGGGCCAACGTGGACATGCTGAACGTGCTGCAGGTGGGCATCACGCTCTTTAACGAAGACGGCGAGAACCCACCGGCGCGACCGGGCAGCGGCGAGGACCCGGTAGTGATCGCGGCGGCGGCGGCGGCGGGGAGGCGAGTCGGCACGCAGCAGGGCCCGCTTCCGTACACGTGGCAGTTCAACTTCAAGTTCTCGCTCAAGGACGACATGTACAGCCAGTCGTCGGTCGACTCGCACGTCCAGGCAGGTATCGACTTCAACGTGCTCGAGCGCGACGGCATCGACCCGCACGAGTTCGCGTCGCTCATGATATCGTCGGGCATGGTGTGCGACGACTCGGTCAGCTGGATCAGCTTCCACGGCGCCTACGACTTTGGCTACCTGACCAAGCTGCTGTGGTGCAAGATGCTGCCCAACGACGAGATCGAGTTTGTGGACACTATGAAGATCTTCTTCCCTCGCATCTACGATGTTAAGTATCACATGAAGCACCAGAGCAAGCTGCTCGCCTCCATCGGCTTCCACGGCGTCGACGGCGCCGTCGTCGAGATCCTGCAAAAGTTCGACCACAAGTCCACCCTCGAGACCCTAGCCGAGGTGCTCAAGGTCAAGCGGACCGGCCCCGCCCACCAGGCCGGCTCCGACTCGCTCCTCACCGGCCGCGCCTTCTTCCAGATGCGCGACCGCGTCTTTGGCGGCAAGATGCCCCAGGACACCGTCGGCCAGGTCTGGGGCCTCGAGGGCCCGGACGGCTCGGGGCCCACGGCCGCCCTTGCCGCCGCCGCAGCCGCCGCCGCCGTCTCGTCCCAGCAGCAGCAGCAGCAGCAGCAGCAGCAGATGGAGGGCGGCGGCCCCAACGGGAACCACCAGCAGCAGAACGGCGGCGCGCCCAGCACCCCGAACTCTGTCCCCGTCGGCCTGGCCACCACGCCCGGCCCGCCCTCGCACCACTCCAACGGCATGGGCATGGGTCCCATGACGCCCGGTGGGGGTGGCGGCGTGTTTGGCAACTTTTCTATCCATACCAGTGGCAGGTGATTTTTTTGCCACGATCCACGCCGAATAAAATCCAAACTTGGGACGGGATACCCACATCGAAGGAGCGAACGACGGGACGAGGTGGTTGATCAAGATATGTGTGGAAAGCAGCAACCCCTCAAAAAAAAACCCCAGCATTATGCTGCCTCGCCTTAGGAGGATATCTCGGTTGGAATTATAGAGAGGAAACCCGGGCGGTCGTTTTATAATCAGTGGGTGCGCGTGTGTCTGTGTGTGGATAGTGATTAGAAGGAGGGTGGGAGCAATGCGCGCGCGTCTTTTGCCATCTCTATATTTTCTTTTATTCTTATCGTCTTCGTTTTCTCTCTGGTTGTCACTCTTTACCTGGAAGCACAGGAGTATCATCGGCTGGTTCGGTAAGGTTGGGTGGGTGGGTGGGTGTTGGTGAGAGGTTGCTTGACTGGAACGGTCATCGACGGTAAAAAAGAAGAAAAAGAAAAGAAAATAAACACACGAGGGTATCCGTACGCCTCGGAGAGAGTGGGGAGCGCGATGCAAAAGATCTCGTCCCTGGCCTCTCTGGCAATATCAATGTTTATAAACAAAAAGCGCTTTTACATAATCTCTTTCACCTTCCCCCTTGCGGCTCCGGCGGCGTTATTTCTTGTTTTATTAGTCGCTATCTTTGGCTTTGCTGGCTTTTCCATCTTGTGTCCTTCGCTTTTACATCATATCCCCAAACCTCCCCTCGATCCTCGATCCTCGATCCTCGATTCTCGATTTCTTTTTTCCCACTGTATAAACGCCTTGCTCGGCTGGGCCTCCGTCTTGTTCCTGAACCTTACTCAACGGGGTTATATTCCTTCTACACACGTTCTGTTTTCCGCCTCTTGGCCCAGATGGTAGACACCCACCACGCCGGAAATACCATGGCGGCACAAACACAGCCATTGATGCTTTGATCGCAACAGCCACGAGTCAACCGTGAACGATATATCTTTGACAGACGTAAATCTTGACAAATGAGCGCCTGGATCTTTAGGGTGGTGGTATCGTGATATGACGTCCTCATTAGTCCATACACCTTGCCTCATATTTGCAATCACTGGCGCGCCCTTGAGGGAAAACCAAACGCCGCTCAAGCATGTATTATGTAGACTTTAGCCCTGGAGGAGAATACTGCCCCAAGGCTACTTGACCCGACCAATCTGGTGTCTAGCTGGTAGTGCTGGGGAGTGCTGGGTGACGGAGCTCATGGCACACGTTACGGACCAATGGAAGCTTCGTAAAAGGGTAGCGCTGGGTAGCATTGAAAACGAACGAAAGTCAAAATGAAAAAGAAAGAAAAGTTGTACATTGAACGATCCCACCCAGTCCAAAGCGGGGGGAAGTAAGCAATCGAAACGCTTTTGCCCTGTTGCTTGGTGGCTTGGAGGGCTCCAGGAAGGCTGAGAGATGAGAGCAAAATGGAAGTAGACATATAAAAAGCGGGTGAAACCCCATCCTTCGTCCATGTCCCCGTACCGAGGACGAAAAGCAGCCAAGAAAGCAAAGGAAAGAAAACAGGAAAAAAGGATACCTAAATATCAATCACCAACACCATGATATGACCACGGCCACCATTTCCCACCCACCCATCGAGTCCCTCTCGGCCCATATTATGAGAACGCAAAAACCCAAGAGATAAAAAGAACGGGGGCCAGACCCCATGATAACTCCCAAAAAGAAAAAAGAAAAACCGACTCGCAACTTTTCTCAAGGCCTTTTGATCCCTCTACACGCTAGCTTCGTGCAAATGGACTTTTTGTGTTGCAAATGTGTGAAACCCACCCGGAGAAAATATCGACCTCGAACTCCGGCCAGATGCGCCAAACTTTGTTGTTCCTCCTCTTACCCTTTGTTTTGACCACCCCCCGCCCTCCTTTGGCCATCGTCTGTTTGTCGGGTGAGCCGACAGGCTTTCAAGCCTCTTTTAGTAGAGCCAGGGCGCCGGCAATATCAAGACGGCGCCATTCGCTCAGACTTCTTCGTTTGACTTTTTGTTTGCGTATCGTCTTGGCGTTTAGGCGTTGGCGGGCTGCGAAACTCCACGGCCACGGGGAGCGCCGCCGCCGCGTCCACCACGGGGCTGGTTGTTGAAGCCGCCACGACCACCCTGGCCACCCGAGCGGCCGCCCTCGTAGTTTCCGCGGCCACGGCCCGGGATGCCGCCACGGCTGTTGTAGTTGCTGCCGCCGTAGGCGCTGGCCTTGGGCCTCCTGGCCTCGACAATGATGTTCTCGCCGTCGACAGTGTGAGGGTTTGCGGCGGCAGCGGCCTGGTAGCCAGCAGGAGTGGCGAACTCGACAAAGGCGCAGTTCTGTTGTTTCTGTTAGTCTCATGCAACGACGAACCATGCGCGTGGGCAAAAGGGGTGATGGACACTAACCTTGGTGCGGTTGATGTCGAAGTAAACCAGATCACCAAAGGCGGTGAGAGTCGACTTGAGAGTCTCGGCCTTGACCTTCTCGGTGACGTATTTGACATAACCAAGCGTACCCTCCTTCTCTTGGGGCGCACCAGTAACGGACACGGGCCTGTTCTGACGCTTGGAGTCGGATCCGGCAGTCTGCCATTCACCCGAGTCCTTAGCGGCCTCGGGCGCGGCCGCCGCAGGGGCCGCCGCCGGTTGGGGCGCAGCGGGAGTTGGGGCAGCAGCCGGCGCAGCAGCGGGACGCGGGGCAGGAGTAGCAACAGGAGTGGCGGGCTTGGGGAGGGCAACGGCAGGACGAGCAGGACCGGCGGCAGCAGCAATGCGGCTAGCCCAGGTCATAGGCTTGGCGGGCTCCTTGGGCTTCTCAGGCTCGGCAGGCACAGGCGCGCGGGCGAGAGCGGGGGTTGGGGTGGGATCCTTGGGGGTCTCAACCTTCTTGCTCTCCTCCTCGGCGACCTCCTGCGCCACAGTCTCCGGGTCGGGGGCGGCCTCGGCGACAGTCTCGGTCTTGGCAGGAGCCGCAGCAGCGGGCTCCTCGGCAGGCGCAGCAGGCTCGGCCGGGGTGGCAATGGCTGAGGTGGTGGGGGTCTCGTTGGACTCGTCGCTTATCTCCTCAAGCTTCTTGCTGACGGCCGCGGTATCGACCTGAGCGGGAGCGGCAGTCTCCTCGACCGGCTCGGACTTGGGCGCCTCTGCCTCAACGGGGGCAGCCTCGGCCTCAGGGGCAACAGGCTCGGCCTCCTCGGCAGCGTCGGCGACCTCGGGGGTCTCGTCCTCAGCGTCATCGTTGATGTACCGAAGGATGTCGTTGAGAACGAAGTATCCAGAGGGCTGCTTGGCGAGGATGAAGGTCTGGACGAACTTCTTGGGCTCGCCGCCCTTGTTGACGGTCTCACCGATGACCTGGATGACGATGCTATCGCCCGAAGCCTGGGAGTCAACGTTGGAGACGCGGACCTTGCAGTCCTGCAGGTCCAACGACTTGATGCGCTCTTGGATTTGCTGTGCATTGACAATGTGTGCGTTAGCCAGGAGCGACGGCGTGTGCGGGGTCTGGGAGCCCAATTGTACGCACCTGGCGACCGACAGAAACGTTGGCAACCTCGGCTTCGAGCCCGTAAACGAACTGAGACTGCTTTCCGTAAAAGAGCTGTGAGGGGAGGATTGAAGTCAGCAGGGAGCAAAACATGGCGGACGAGGTTGTGTGCCCTCTATCCGGCGAGGCAGAGCGGACCAGGACGTACGTGGAGCTTCTCGGGGTTTTTGCTCAAGGTCAGGTAGTACTGCTCAACGAAGTACCAGCCGACCTCATCCTTGGACAGGTTGCTGTTGTCCGAGCCGGCGGCGTTGCCCGCAGGGTGTTCCTGGTGATTAACACTACCGTTGGTCGGCATGGTGGCCATGGTTGCGGCGGTGGTGTGAGGGCTCGCGGTGGGCGGCAGTAGCAGCAGGGGGAGTTAAGTATGTGGGTGGTTGCGGGCTTGGGGACCTGGCCGAGTCGCTCGCGCCACGCAAAGTATAGACAGGCACGCAGGCGGCTGCAATTGGGGTCAACAAGGGCGCACAACTGCAGACGAAAGGGGAGCGAGGGGATGGAATCCATACCTGAGGCAGCTCGAGTGCGTGGGGGAGAGGGGTGGATGGGTGTTGGCGAGCTGGCGTGATTCGCTGGGGGGCGAGAGGAGATGGAGACAAACGAGATAAGTCGCAGGCTGGGGAGGGCGCACGAGGGGAAAGAGCTCGGTACGCAAGGAAATGCAGGACGAGGAGCCCGACGGAAGGAGAGAAGAAAAAAGGGCACCTCTACTGGCGGGGTATGTGGAAAATGGGGAAAGACGGATATAGGTTCCCGAACAGTCGAGATGCAGCGGGAGGTCTTTCTTTGAGGAGAGGGCAGGGCACACAGTCTTTGATGTAGTTGAAATTGGAGGCTCGTGAAAAAAAAAAAAAAAAAAAAGACGTCGAGGTCATCAATAATTTGCTTGGGGTTGGAAAAGGTGGGCCGGGCACGGATGGGCTTGGTCGCTGGTCCCCCAATTGTTCCTCGGGATTTCGTCGGGCCAATCAGGTTAGGCCATTGTGTTTGTGGGTGCCCTGGCCGTCCCGCCACCGAGCTCGCGGACCAACCAGAGAGCGGCCCGCGCGCTCAAGGTCGGAAGCAGCCTCCAATAACGGCTTTGATCGGCGGCGTGAATGGTGGGCGACCAGGCTGAAGGGAGAGGCTGCCAGGTACCTGATGTTTTGTGCGCTTCTCAGACCCATCATCTCCCCCCAGCCCAAGATCAACCTTTGGCTCACTCAACCATGAATCTGGCATAAAACACGATAGCAAAAAACAAAAACAAAAACCGTAGTGCGTTGCGCTCAGGCTGAGGTTCCCTTCATTCTAAATGTCAATACCCTCCGCGCCAACGGTCGTCTCATGCCGCAAGCCATGACTAGCGTAGCCCGATCTTAGCACCCATCCGAAGCCTTCCAGAAGCTGGGTCGTAGCTATGGGGATGTTTCTTCACATGCAAATCGCCTCGATTTGAGCTCTGGAACGCTGCACTCGGACGCCTTCAATCATGAGAGATATCGAAGGTTCTATACCGGAGGACAGTTTCCGCAATACATACAAAGGAAACATGCCACATGGGACCAACGAATCATTTTCCGTGGCGATTCCCCTCAAATGTCCATTGTTCAAATAGGGATGGCATCCCGATAGCAGACGCCAAGGCAGGGCGGATATGTGCACTTTCGTAGCTAAGCAACCTAGCCCAGCCTCGCCAGGCTAGCAGCCCAGCCCTACACATGGAAATGCATGCACGGCTGTCAAGCGTCGTTCTCAATGCCGGCCAGTAGTGGAAACGGCACTCGCCCCGATGCTGTCTCCGAACCCAGTGCCGACTGTTTCTGGTCACTGGACATGGTTGTGGTTATAAAGAGTCTAGCATTCTCTGGGGGGTTCCTCGTTTGATAGTGGGTACTCATAGCCTGCATCTCGGTGAAGCAAGCGCATGCAGTTTACCGGCAGGCCATCATTACAGCCCGGTTGACCGGCCAAAACTCTTCCCTGTCTCCTACATGTGGGAACCCATGCTGTGTAGCAAGTTTCGACAGGGGACAGTCCGGCGGCCACGATGTAGTATTCGAGGATTTTGACGTGACGACTCTCACAAAGCCAGCAGCGTACGTAAGTACATTCAGGTCGTCAACCCATACAAATCTGTTGCCTGTGTACTACTTTGTACAATATTATCCCACGTCACCGCCCCTCGGACGCACGAAAGCTCTGGATGATCCACCATCGCCGGAACGGAGAGCGGCTGACTAGGGCTAAAAGGGGCAAGAAAGTTTGGTACCGACCTGGTCTCTGAACTGGTGCACCGTGGCTTGCAGGCATACATATATAGCTCCCTACGAAGGTAGGCAAGGAAGCACCTACAGGTCCTAGGGATCACAAATCCTAGTGCGGTGGATGCAAGATACATTTTCTTCCTTAGAAAACTAAGCCAAACTGATGCCCACTAGGATCTACCGTGCTAAGGTTTGTGATCCCTGGGACTTGTACATACGTAGTGCATACTAAAAAGCCAGGCTGCGGTCGGGACATTATTCTATCGGGGCGGAGATGGATCCGCGTTCGGCGGCCCAGTCGGGAGGGATGCTTTCCCCGCCACCTCGAGAATACAGGGGACTAGGATATTAAACGTTAAAAGTGCGGATCCCTCCAGGGGGGTCTGCGATACATTGATTTGGCAGGATTTTCTGTGGGAAAAGTGTAGTTGGAGACCCCTGAAGGGCTCCGCACTTTCAACGTTTAATATCCTAGTCCCCTGTAGAAGGGAGGCTGTGGTGCCCCTGTGTGTGCCATGTGGCAGTGGCAGCCAAGACGAACCGTTGTTTTCGGCTGTTTCGCTGCAACCCCTGTTTGCTGCAAATTTTGAGGGGCCCCCGACGATGAGCAGAATCATAGATGGCCCCTGTACCGATCATGTTTGTTTTATGCTAGGAATCTTGGTTTTGTGCCGGGATTTTTTGGCTACAACACGAAGGCTCTGTAGAAGCTCCGCTGGCCCGTAAGATCCGTGCATACCTTGGTACGGTAGGTACATGGAAAGGGGAGGAAGGCTCATGTTGATGTGTTGCTGTTTGGTGGTGTTGATCAACGGCTGCCACAGCCGATTTCCAAGCATCGTTCAAAGGAAGCGCCCGGGGGAATTTAATGGAAATAACGGGAAACAATGCATTGTCCCCTTGGTGGCCTCTAGCGTGCATCGTCATGACTGCTATCTCAAGCTCGCATGGAGCGATTCAAGGCGGAGGCTTCTCCTGAAGGCGTGCGCACGTCTGACGCGAGCGCTGCCCCACAGCCAGCAGAGTGGGGTCGTGTTCAGCCCACCACCCGAAGCGCGAGAAGCGAGCGATTGTGGACGCAGTCAGGAAGCGAGGAGACAGGTCGGGACGATGGCGCCAAGGCGCGCATGACCTTGTGTCGCGTGAACAAAAAGAGCTCAGCGGAGTGGCCGGCCGTCGACGAGATGGCCAGGGCAGTGCCGACTAGTGCGGGGGGAAACTGGAGCGCAAGTGGCCCTCTGCAGGTGGTCCTCACTGTGGTCCTCATTGTGGTCCTCTGCAGGCGTTCGTTGTTCGCTACCGGCATAGCGTCAAAGGTGGGATGCGGGAGGGACCAACCGGCAAGGCAACTGGCAGGCACAGAGTTGGAAGCCCTTTTTTCCCAGCTGGGCACTTTCCAGCGGGCCAAGGTGAAAGTCCTTCTTCGGGGGTGGCGACGTAGCCCAACCTTGCAGCCGATCTGCGGGTGGAACGAGACCTAGAGGGGGAAAAAAAGGAACGAGTCAAACATCAAATCCCCTCCCATGCAGGACTTCAGTTGGGTTGGGACCTCAGGTATATCCATCCGGGCGCCAGCCGCAGCACCACAGAAAGAGGGGACAGCTGGGGAGAAGAGCCGCCAGACCGGGCCCGACGAAACACGCACGCGCGGATCGACCGGACAGTGGGCCGTGGGCCTGACGTGACCGGATCGGGGCTTTGAGCTCCCTGCCGTTACTGGCTGCTTTGTTGTTTTATTGCTGTTATTGCCCTTGTTAGCTAGCTTATTTGCTGGGGTAGCACCCACGATCAACAACAGCTGAGTCGGGTCGACGTCGGCCTCCTTTTTATCGACTGATGCCCGCACCCGTGTCTGCCTGCAGCCACCGACCACCACCATCCACCAACACCACCACCACCGTCCCTCCCCCAGTCCGAGTTGTCCAACGACGCACCGCAGGACAGCAAACCCCCTGACCGACTGGCTGGATGCAGACGCCGCCCACGTACCGATCCGCTCCCGCACACCGCTGCTTTACCTGCCATAACCACGGCCGCCACCCTGCTGGATGCCTTACATTGCTCTCCATGGCCATAACCGCTCGTCACCCACGATCTGATTGCCCCTTTCGACCCAGTACCTCGATCCCACGCCGTCCGTCCTTGGCAACCACCTCGTCGCGCCCGTGATTTTGCCCTTTCATTCGCCAGCCCGCCTGTGCCCGTGGGAACAAAGCTCCCGTTCTGACTTGTCGCCGTCGCTCCAGGGGCTGCGCGGTTCCTCTGCCGCGCCGAAGCACCACTCACGGAGCCGCCACGGGCTCGCCACCGCCCCTGTCGTCTCCCCACTCCCCCATCTCCGTTCTGATCTACTGGTCTCTCGGGTGGCCAACCGAGCCATTCACAACATGGTTTACTGCGGCAAGGCATCACAGGGCTGCCAGAACTGCCGTACCAGGAGAATCAAGGTGTGTGTGTGTGTGTGTGCTTGTGTGTGCGCATGTTAAAGAGAAATATCGGCTCTGCTGGTTTATGATGCCCGTACCCGCAACCCCACGTTTCCCAAGACCCAAACTGCCAACTCTTTCAAAGATGCTGGTTCTCCTGCGTCGAATCGGGGAAGGCGAAGGGCATGTGCCTCATGGGCGTCGATTGAACTGGCGGGCAGAGTGCTTGCCATCAGTCCAGTCCGACGTCCGGTAACGACATGGAACCCCTCCACCGCCTATCGGCGCCGTTGCCTTGGACGCTCAGCTCAATGCAAGGGGTGGCTGTCACTCCCTCGCTCTCACCCCGGGGGTAGCCCAAGGGAAAAAAAAAAACACAAAAAAAAAAACGACTTGCTGACTGAGTGACCCATGCTTCGTGCCCACGCTCAGTGCGACAAGCTCAAGCCCGAATGCTCCCAATGCGTCCGTGTGGGGAAGAAGTGCCCGGGCTACCGGGACCAGCTGTCGCTCATGTTCCGGGATGAGAGCAGCAAGGTCATGCAGAAGGCGCACGCCCAGTGGGGTGTCGAGGCTGCCGAGTCCTCCGGGTTTTCTTCCTCCTCGGACTCGCCGTCGCCGCCATCGTCCAACAGCTCCGTCGCCCTGTCGCCCGTGTCGGCGAGGAGTCAACCGAGCCCGCCGGCGAGGTCGGCACGAGCGGCTGCTGCGGCGGCGAGGAGAACGACCTCGCCCGTCGGCGCCGCGCCCTCACCCACCGCTCATCACCTGGAGCCCAGCTGGCAAGACAAGGGCATCAAATTCTTCGTCGATCACTTCGTCATCGGCCTCCCCGACGAGGCTGTCGATGCCCAATCTCTCAGCCACGAGAACTGGGTTTTCGACAGAAGCATGCAGAACACCATGGCAGCTGTCGGCCTGGCTGGCATGGGGAACCTCCGAAACGACAAACAGCTCATGAGCAACGCCCACTCCATGTATGGAGCCGCCCTGCGCGACACGGGAAGGGCTCTCGCTGGAGGCAATGGCGTGTCGTATAATTTCATGATACGGAGTGTGCTTATGTTGGCCATGTTCGATGTGCGTTTCCGGACCCCTGGGCTGTAGTCTTGTATCACGCGCTCGCACTCGACGCCCGAGGATAAAACCAACTAACCATTGGGCAACCCAAACAGATTGTAAATGGCACCGACCCGAGGGCAAGCTCGGGAGCCCAAACACATATAACCGGGGCTGCGTCGTTATTACGAAGCTTCATCCCTATACAGAGTACAGGCACCAGGGGGACAATGGGCCTGCTGCAGTTATGCTTATCGCTGGTATGGGAATTACACACCCCTTCACACATGCCAGATGCTTGTAATGGTGAACAGAATGCCCATGCAAGGAGGGGTTGCTAACTCTGTGTCTTTACAGTTGTTGGCCTGTGTGGTCGACTGTACTTCTTTACCGGGCCCCTTTTCCGACTGGGTGACGGTGTCGTGCAGGACGGTACCGGACGAGGAGTGGCCCGCGACAGAGCTTGTCCTCATGATGGTGCGGTTAGTAAACCTCACCTCGGGCCTTCGCATGAGCGGGGTTGCCGACGGCGACGAGGCAGCGGCGGTGCTGGAGCAGCTCCTGTCGCTCGAGGACCAGATGGCGTCGTGGGAGGCACGCATCGGGGGCAAGTGGGCCTTTTCGACGCTCCACGGCGACTTCCCGCCGCAGGCCTGTTTCCAGGGCCAGTACCACGTCTACACGGACAACTGGACGGCGCGCGTGTGGAACTTTTACCGCTGGGCCCGGCTGATGGTGTGCTCGGCGCTGCTGGACCTGCTGGCTGGCATGCCACCGGGGGCGACGGCCGCGCACCGGGCCGCGCGCGAGCCGGCGCTGCGGGCCATGTCGCTGCGGCTCGCGCGGGACACGCTCGTCAGCGTGCCGACGCACTGGAGGCACCCGAGCATGGACGCGGCCCAGCGCGCGCGCGTGCGCTGCGCCGGTGGCGCCGGCACGGGCGCCGTCGGCGTCCCCGGCCTGCTCTTCCACGTCGACGTGGCCGCCTCGGCCCGCGGCGTGCCCCGCGAGTGGGCCGACTGGGCCCTCGGCCTGCTCGACTCGGTCTGGGCCGACATGGGCATGGTGCACGCCCGCAGGATCTCGGACGGCCTGCGCGACCGCCTCGACCGCCGCGCGGACGGCCGCCCCGGCGCCAGGCCGCCGCCCGCCGGGGTCAAGATTGTGGTGAGGCCCCTGGTCAAGATCGAGTCCGAGGGGTGAAGGAAGGGAATTGGGTGGGGGGTTGATCAAAGAACTGAGGTTGTTGTGCGGGGGTGTTCTCTTGTTTTCTTCTACCATCTATTCACTTTGTATTATAAGCAGCATGGGAAGGATATGTTGCATTTTTGTCTTTGGTCAAATCTATTGAACACTTCGAGGCTTGTAGAGATAGTTTAAAATGCCAAGGCCGGCAGGGTGTGTTTATAGCAATAGGGAGGATCGAAACGAACGGAGATTTTAGCTTTTCCCCGTTGACTTTGCATGGGTGTTGAGAAAGGTCGGGTTTTCCTACGCGATGAGTAGTGGTTCACGTCATATCTAGCATCGTATCCGACTACCTGTTGTTTCTCAGTCGTTCAAAGGGCGGCCCTATGTAGATTTAGCTAGCGCGACCAGGGGGGTATCGAGTATAGTCACAAGAAATAATAAAGCAAGAGCAATGCTCGCTCACATCGTTACAACATTCAAGTCAAGAAAAGAAAGAAGGGAGAAAAAAAAAAGACCCTCAAGTCCCGCCCATCTCGGCCTCGACGGCCCTCGTCTCCCGCGCCAGCTCGTCGGCGGCCCCCGCGGCGAGGAGGGCCTCGTTGGCGCCAGATATGTCGCCGATGACGGCCTCGAGCTGGCTCAGCAGCGCGGCGGCCTCGCGGCGCTGGGCCTGGATCTCGTCAAAGAGGGCGGCGTTGCGCGACTGCGACGTCTGCAGGCGGGCGTTGAGCTGGCTCTGCTGGGACGCCAGGTGCGGCGCCAGGTGGGCGGCCAGGATGTCGTCTGGGGGGAGGAGGTGGGGTGGGCTTTTTTTTTGTTGTGGTTTGCATGTTAGAGACGAGTCCGTATGTACATGTTTAGATTGAGGGGATGTGTGCGAGAGAGAGGGAGAGGGAGAGAGAGAGAGAGAGAGAGAGAGAGAGAGAGAGAGAGAGAGAGAGAGAGAGAGAGAGAGAGAGAGAGAGAGAGAGAGAGAGAGAGAGAGAGAGAGAGAGAGAGAGAGAGAGAG